TCCATTTGATCTTTCTGAGTTAACTTCAATAATTACTTCCTCCAAACCATCAACGGGTCTTTTAGACCCCATTCCTACAAAACTGCTCAAAGAAGTCCTGCCATTAATTAATTCTTCGATCTTAAATATGATCAACCTATCTCTAATAATCGGCTATGTACCACAGGCCTTCAAGCTGGCTGTAGTTAAACCTTTACTCAAAAAGCCATCTCTAGACCCAGCAGTCTTAGCTAATTACAGGCCAATCTCCAACCTTCCTTTCATATCAAAAATCCTTGAAAGAGTAGTTGTCAAACAGCTAACAGATCATCTGCAGAGGAATGGTTTATTTGAAGAGTTTCAGTCAGGTTTCAGAGCTCATCACAGCACAGAAACAGCTTTAGTGAAGGTTACAAATGATTTTCTTATGGCCTCTGACAGTGGACTCATCTCTGTGCTTGTCCTGCTAGACCTTAGCGCAGCATTCGATACTGTTGACCATAATATCCTATTAGAGCGATTAGAACATGCTGTAGGTATTACAGGTACTGCACTGCAGTGGTTTGTATCATATCTATCTAATAGACTCCAATTTGTGCATGTAAATGGAGAGTCCTCTTCACACACTGAGGTTAATTATGGAGTTCCACAGGGTTCAGTGCTAGGACCAATTCTGTTTACATTATACATGCTTCCCTTAGGCAGTATCATTAGAAGACATAGCATACATTTTCACTGCTATGCAGATGACACCCAGCTCTATCTATCCATGAAGCCAGATAACACACACCAATAGTTAAACTGCAGGAATGTCTTAAAGACATAAAGACCTGGATGGCCGCTAACTTTCTGCTTCTTAATTCAGATAAAACTGAGGTTATTGTACTCGGCCCTGAAAATCTTAGAAATATGGTATCGAACCAGATTCTTACCCTGGATGGCATTACCTTGGCCTCCAACAACGCTGTGAGGAACCTTGGAGTCATTTTTGACCAGGACATGTCCTTCAATGCACATATTAAACAAATATGTAAGACTGCGTTCTTCCATTTGCACAACATCTCTAAAATTAGAAATATCCTGTCTCAGAGTGACGCTGAAAAACTAGTTCATGCATTTATTACTTCCAGGCTGGACTACTGTAATTCATTATTATCAGGATGTCCTAAAAACTCACTGAAAAGCCTTCAGCTAATCCAAAATGCTGCAGCAAGAGTACTGACAGGGACTAGAAAGACAGAGCATATTTCTCCTGTTTTGGCTTCCCTTCATTGGCTTCCTGTTAAATCCAGAATTGAATTCAAAATCCTGCTCCTCACATACAAGGTCTTAAATAATCAGGCCCCATCTTATCTTAATGACCTTGTAGTACCATATCACCCTATTAGAGCACTTCGTTCTCGCTCTGCAGGCCTACTTGTTGTTCCTAGAGTATTTAAAAGTAGAATGGGAGGGAGAGCCTTCAGTTTTCAGGCCCCTCTTCTGTGGAACCAGCTTCCAGTTTGGATTCAGGAGACAGACACTATCTCTACTTTTAAGATTAGGCTTAAAACTTTCCTTTTTGCTAAAGCATATAGTTAGGGCTGGACCAGGTGACCCTGAATCCTCCCTTAGTTATGCTGCAATAGATGTAGGCTGCCGGGGGATTCCCATGATGCATTGAGTTTTTCCTTTCCAGTCACCTTTCTCACTCACTATGTATTAACAGACCTCTCTGCATTGAATCATATCTGTTATTAATCTCTGTCTCTCTTCCACAGCATATCTTTATCCTGTCTTCCTTCTCTCACCCCAACCGGTCTCAGCAGATGGCCGCCCCTCCCTGAGCCTGGTTCTGCCGGAGGTTTCTTCCTGTTAAAAGGGAGTTTTTCCTTCCCACTGTTGCCAAAATGCTTGCTCATAGGGGGTCATATGATTGTTGGGTTTTTTTCTGTATCTATGAAGCGCCTTGAGGCGACTTTTGTTGTGATTTGGCGCTATATAAATAAAATTGAATTGAATTTTGACCCGTACTGTGTAAATCCACTCAGAATTGTCAAAAAACTGCAATAAAACAATAGCAACTTTACTTCCCATCAGATAAACATGTAGAACACAGACATACAACTGTTAGACTTTCCATAACTATTTTAGGTACAATTTGGTTTTTCATTCTTACAAACACATTTCTTTTGAACTTGCCCAACGTTCTCAGTTTTTCAATGCTCAACATTTTCAATTTTGTCCACATGATGGACAGAATGTAACTGTGTGCTTTCTGCAGATGTACTTCTTGCATTTCTCACAAAAATTGCTTGTTTTCAAACAGGAATCTTCCTAACTAAGATTTAAAACAAAAGATTCTACGTCTCCTCCAGTCTCACAAACAGATGACAAACCAAGCGACACACCTGAGTCACTGACTTTCTTAAATCCACTCACTCTCACTGGCTATGTTTATTACTAATCACTGTGTAACTGCTGTGAATTCACAGTAACTGCCGTCTCCTTACAAATGTTCATTAGATTAACCACACTTATACAGACTGTATATAACTACCAACTCCCAAGTCATGTTGATGGATTGCCTATATTGGCTGGAAATATTAATTTCCAGGGAAAAGACACAGGCAGACTCTGCTTACAGGATGTGATGCGACAACACTAATGAAATATTGATGTGTCATATTTGTCCAAGGTGTATTTCAATAAAAGAGAATATTAAAATCATGATGACCAATTGGAGTGGTGATTTCTATGACTTTGTGTATATAATTTGGAATTTTGTACAAATGTAGGCCAATAAGGAATATATGATATCATTTCATTCTTTTCAAAGGTTTATTTGCATGACGCACAAACAGACACAATTGAAGGGTACAAATGTGTTGTGCATGAAACGAATTCAGACGTGGTGCAGATGTGTGTCACAAGTTGATCTGGCTGTAGGCTGTGGCACTTGGCCAGAGGTGGCGCTGGTTGACTCGACTCCATGTTAGTGCATAAAGTAAACTGCTCGCTGTAGTTGTGGAGCAAAAACGCTGAGACCGGAGAAATAAAACGTGCGAGGGGAACGATAACAACGACAAGAGTCTCCCGATCGTTTACTCTTGCTGTCCCGTGAACAACATCGGCATGGTATTACTTGTTTGCTGTTTTCGCGATCGCGTCGCGCATGAGGATATCACCAGGTAAACTCGCCACATTTTTAAACATTTTGTTGTTCAACAGCATCAAGACTGACGGAGTGTGTTTGAGATAACCTCACAAGTGTCACAGGTGACACATTTGGCGTTTTTTTGCTGGTTTGTCGGTAGCAGCTCCTGAAACGCAAGACTGTCACACAACTGTTCGACCAACGCCAGTAGATCTAAACGCCAGTAGATCTGGAACACCTGCCGTTAGATCAGCGCCATCTTAAAAGACATTACTGGTGGTGATTCTGTATGGGCTCAAAATATGGTCATAAATATTTTGTACTTGTAAAAAAGATGTGTGTGTGCGTAAAAAAGATGTGTGTGTGCGTAAAAAAGATGTGTGTGTGGACTTAGAAAAAAAAAACCCTGCAAGTTACAAGTACGGATTTTGACCCTATTTTTCTTTCTTTCATCTGATTGGTCAATGTCATGTCAATCACAAATGTAACAATCCAATCAGAGAACAGATGGGTTTGGCTGTTGGAGGGGCGCTTTTATGAACTGCAGGTCCTTGAAGGGTGATACAGTTTGAAGCTGGAGGATCGCTATATAAATATCCAATAGCAGGTAGGTCCCCTAACTTTCAGTAGCTGTTGAAAGGATAAAGTTGTGGTATATCAGTGGTTAGAAATACCATTATTACTTTAGGATTAGTTTAACACAAAGTCAGGGCCGACCCAGGACCATTGCTGTGAGTCACAGTGCGCAGCATAAAAGTCCTTTCACCTCGGACACAGGATGTGCTGCTAATGCTAACTGCTAACTAAAAGCAAAGGATCCAGAATTTGTTACGCTGGCTGCTGGGCTCTGTGGGTTTTTGCAGCAGCTCTACCTGTACTAGATGCACCTGCTCCTTGTCTTTTCTATCTCTGACTTTATGTCCTCTACAAGAGTTTGTTTTTTTTGCTGCTTCTTCAAATGTTCAATAAAAACATGTATGCTAATTCATAACGAAGAAAGCTTTGTAATGAAGACTGTCATTTCCAAAACACTGCCCGCCCCCACCCCGCGGTCCGCAGCGCTGTTGAAAAGGCTGTGGAAGTCCCTGTATTAAACACGTAGTCCTGTGACACAAAAATCACCAAACTCGGACGACCACAGACTGTTTTCCTTCGTGGTGATGAAGGAAAACGCTGGGTTGGCATGTAAAAGGGCATTTATTCCCTTCAAAGACCTGCAGTTCAAAAAAAGTGCCCCTCTGACAGCCAAACCCATCTGTTCTCTGATTGGATTGTTACATTTGTGATTGACATGACATTGACCAATCAGATGAAGGGAAGAAAAATAGGGTCAAAATCCGTACTTGTAACTTGCAGGGGTTTTTTTTTCTAAGTCCACACACAAATCTTTTTTTACACACACACACACAAATCTTTTTTTATACACACACAAATCTTTTTTTATACACACACAAATCTTTTTTACGCACACACAAATTCTTTTTACACATACAAATCTTTTTTACGCACACACAAATCTTTTTTTACACATACAAATCTTTTTTTACGCACACACAAATCTTTTTTTTACACATACAAATCTTTTTTACAAGTACAAAATATTTATGACCACATTTTGAGCCCATAATTCTGTTATTAATTGTGGAATCTGTTGTATTCTATCCACCTCATCAAATCATAATACTCAGTACAACATCTTCATTTGAAGGAAAACAAATAGCTGAACACAAATGATTAAAAAAAAATAAGGTCCTGCTGGAAGCTCCAAGCAGACAAAATGACAGGGGCTGAACAGAACGTACAGCCGAAAACAAAATTAGCTAAGAGAGAGAAACCCTGTAGACAGTTATTGATTTAGTAAGCTATATAATTATAATGTACTCACTCTGGATCTCCTCTCAGAATAACCCGAACTAAAGATCCCCCAGCGGAGGAGGCCGGCTTTGTAGTTGGACTAGGAGAGAGACCAAGCTGTCCGAGCTACGAGACCCTATATCTTTCCAATCACGTATGAGAAACATAAACGTGATCTGCCGGAGACCAGAAGGGCAGCAGTAAGAAAGCTCAGCACAGTCACACTATATTTGTCACACCACAAAAGTCTCCGTCGTAGATAACAAGTATGATGACTGTGGCTATAATCATTACTCGGTAAGTCTACTTTCCGCTGTGTGCACGCGCAGTACTTCGTCTTCTTCTTTGTGGTTTGTCGGCGGTTGGCAATAACGACTCATTACCGCCACCAACTGGCAGTGATGTGTCCTGTGTGTCAAAGCTTCGAAGCGTGTGTCGGCTAATCTTGGGGGAGTTTTTGTAAAGCGCGTATCGAGGCTTTCTTTGATTACGTATGCAGTGACGTTCAAGGCCTCGCGGGCAGCCCGTACCATGTGACTGATTCAGGAACTGGCTCGCCGGTTCGCGCCAGATTCGAAATAAAATTGGCATCAAAACACAGCTGATTTCCCCCATCACATTGTGTTGTGGAATTAGATTACGTACGTGCTACATAGATACTTGAGCATTTCATCGTCGATAGAACCAGCAAGGTAGAGATTTTTTTAATCTCCTCTCTCCTTATCTCATCTGTTCTTATAAAGTATGCACACAGTAATACATATCCCAAATGATAAGTACCATAATAAAAATAAACAACATGACTGACTTTAATTATCCATAAAATCATCACATTCTCTGTAAGATTAAGGTCAACTATTGAATGGTGTATATTTTAAAGACTTTAAAACAAAGTTAACGCTGAAAGTACTAACATCACTTTTTTTTTTTTGGACAATTTCTGGACGATTCTAGCACCAGTTTTTTACAGTTGTGTGAAATCAAGGAAAATATGGAACGCCAGGACTGCCATAATGAATTAATTAAATACACCATTAAATCATTAGTTAAATGTGTCAATATTTAATTAAAATTGGAATTAATTAATTAAATAAATAGTTATGACACATGTAATTAATTAATTATTGACACATTTAATTAATTATTTATGTAATTCACATTTTAATTAATTATTGACACATTTAATTAATTAATTATTGACACATTTAATTAATTATTTAATGGTGTATTTAATTAATTCATTATGGCAGTCCTGGCGTTCCATACGAAAAGGGCAGACTTCGATCAAATATGAATTCTGAAAACATTAATTTCCTGCTAAAACCAAGGAAAAACCCTGTATATCCCTCAAGCTATCGTCCAATATCCCTTATAAATGCAGACCTTAAAATAATCTGCAAAGCTCTCTTAAAGAGACTAGAGAAAATAAACCCCCTCTTAATTCATCCTGACCAAACTGGTTTCATAAAAGGTAGGCACTCATCAACAAATACTTAATTTGATAGATTACTCATACAGTAAAAACCTTGAAACTACAATATTTTCTTTAGATGCAGAAAAAGCATTTGACAGAGTTAACTGGAAATTTCTATTTGCAACTTTACACAAATTTGGTTTTGGATCCTCTTTCATTAACTGGTTAAAAATATTATATAATTCCCCAACAGCTTGTGTCAGAACAAATGACCAAACATCCTCCAGTTTCTGTCTCCTGAGGGGCACCAGGCAGCGATGCCCACTCTCCCCTTCACTGTTTGCAATTTTCATTGAACCACTAGCAGTAGCAATTAGACAGAATTCAGTAATTAAGGGCATAAAATGCAAGAACGTGGAACATAAAATCAGCCTTTATGCGAATGATTAGGGATGGGTACCGGTGTCCGGTGCCATCATGGCACCGGTTCTGACATAAATGGTAGTAACCAGACCGAAAAGCAGCGCACATTTCGGTGCTTTTTTTTTTCCTGAGCTGTGATACACTTTAGATTCTAGCCAATCATTTTACGTTTCCGAGGATAGTAGGCGGGTCCAGGTACGTACGTTCTTAGAGCAGAGCTACAGATTAAAAATGCCCAAGACGAAGCGGTCAAAAGTCTGGCTGTACTTCACAGCAAAATATGCAAACTCAGCAGCCTGCAACAAGTGCTTTAAGCTGATACTGTGATACTGTCAAAGGAGGTAACACCTCAAATCTGATGAAACACCTGGCGACACATAGCGTTTTTTTTTTTTTTTAAAGCCGAGAAATGCGTCGTATTTGATAGCTTGCTGCGAGAATAGACCTCACACCGTGCACATCTACTGCGGGTGGGTTGCCAGTTATCGGACCGGAGCAACATCCCCCAAAAACACGAAGAATGGAGTCCTGGCCCCTAGCCCTGCCAGTGTAGCAGAAATGATGACGGATGATGATGCAGCAGCAGCCGTTCTTCTCTGCGTGAGTAGCTTAATGTTGTTCGTGTGTAATTTACATTGAGTAGGCTAACCACGTTATTACATTAATGCATGTAAGGTGAACTAGCAAACATCATCATAGCTACATGCGGCTGTCTTCTTGTTTGATGGCAGATGCTCCCTTCACCCTGGCCCAAAAGGCTAAAATGACCAAAGAAAAAGTGGAAAACAGCTGAACATGAGAGGTTTTTGGACAAAGTTTGTGTTTTTTCCGTTGTTTAAGCACTGCTTCCAGCCAAGAGTGATACCATATATGCCCCATAGCTGCAGAAAAGGCTAACATTGCTATCTTTTTACAAAAAACCAGCTGAACATGAGAGGTTTTTGGACCAATTTTGTGTTCTCCATTCTTTAAGCACCGGTTTGAGCACCGTTTGAGCACCGGCACCGTTTCAAAAGTACCGATTTGGCACCGGTATCGGATAAAACCTAAACGATATCCCTACGAATGATGTGTTACTTTTTCTCCAAACCTCACAAACCAATATCTCTGGGGTGATTGAATTTATAAACTCTTTTGCAAGAATATCAGATTACTCAATTAACTGGTCAAAATCTACAGTCCTTCCGATTAATTGCTCCCTCCATAATTCTTCTTCTACACCACTGCTATCAGGAAATATAAAATATTTAGGTATTAATGTTTCTCCCAAGCTTGCAGATCTGACTAAATTAAACCATATCCCACTTTTAAAGTAAGTAGAAGGTGATCTGGCTACATGGAACTATCTACCCATATCACTCATGTGAAGGGATTCTGCTATAAAAATGATGGTCTTACCAAAAATAAATTTATTCTCAGTGATCCCAACTAAACCGCCACAAAATTGGTTCAGATGTCTAGATTGATAGATGTCCAAATTCCTTTGGAAAAATAAACCCCCACGTATAAGCTTAAAAACACTATAAAAGACCAAGATTAAAGGATGACTAGAACTGCCTAACTTTCAGCACTACTTCTTAGTCAACAGGCTTCAATTTATCTCAGGATGGCTAAAACATACCCTCTTAGATTAACCTTGGTTAGATGTAGAACAAGCACTTTGCAATAATCTAGAGATTTCAGATCTATCATTTATCAGCTCAAACATCCAACGACATGAATGCTTCAAAAGCATCAACATCAGCTCTTCTCTGACAGCATGGTGGGAGTTTCTAAAATTGACGGAGTCTTCACTAATCCCATGCAAACGTACACCTATCTGGAACAACCCTGACATATTACAAAATAATAATATGATAAACCTTTCAGATTGGAGTGGTAAAGGAATCAAATATTTAGAACATATATTAGAAGGAATAGAATTTATTTCATTTGACAGACTAGTTACACAATATGGGATCAACAAGAAAAGATTTTTAGAATATCAACAAATTAAATCCATAGGAAAAAAGAAATTTAAACCAGGTCAAGTTGAACTACAAACACCACCAAGTGTGGTTCAATTTCTTACTCTTAAAACCCCCAAATTACTTTCCAAAATATACAGAATGCTTTCTAAAACAGATGAGTCAATATCACTTCCTATTGCAAAATGGGAAGAGGATTTATCAGTTAACTTAGACCAAAACTTCTGGTCTCAGATATGCTTAAAAACCTTTCGGTAGGGATGCACCGATACCGATACTGGCATCGGGTATTGGGGCCGATACTGTAAAATGTGTGTGTACTCATACTTGTAAAAGTTAACCGATACCATGAACCGATACTAACTTATTTCATTAATCAGAGGGTGGCATGTCATTTCTGTTGTAGTTTTTTAGATTGGCCACTAGGGGGACACCTCGCGCTAAACAGGCACATGGTTAGGCGAGTGAGACTGGCAGCTCCAGATATAAAAGAGAAACTGGAGGCTGCTGTAGCTAGGCTAAGCAAAATGTCAGCAGTGTGGAACGGAACAGCCAACTTTAACTCAGGTTTTGGAAAAACGATGAAAAATGTCAAGAGAAAATCCACGGGCAGTTTAAATAACAGAGGCTCTGACTCATTTTATCGCTCTGGATGACCAGCCAATGCCTGTGTTCTGACAAAACGTCCTACCTTGTCAAAACATCCTACCGTAGCGTAAATTTATGGTCTTATCTATCAATCCGTGCTACCTTATCAGAATATGCTACCTTACGTAGTTAATGGCTCGGTCGTATAGGTAGGACGTTCAGATGGCCAATTCACACTTAAAAACTTTGAGTTATTTCGCTAGGACGTTAAGAACATGCTTCCTGCTGGGATTTATTTAGGTAGCATGTTCAGATGGCCAAATCACACTATCAAAACATGCTTCCTGCATTTGGGTAGCATGTTCAGATGGCCAAATCACACTATTAAAACATGCTTCCTGCTGGGATTTATTTAGGTAGCAAGTTCAGATGGCCAAATCACACTATTAAAACATGCTTCCTGCTGGGATTTATTTAGGTAGCAAGTTCAGATGGCCAAATCACACTATTAAAACATGCTTCCTGCTGGGATTTATTTAGGTAGCATGTTCAGATGGCCTCCAGCACACAATCATCTAATGTTGACAACGAATGCAAAGAGACATGGAGGGGAAAAGACAGCTGTTTATATTAGAAGTTGTTATGTGTTTTCCTTACATTTTTTGCATTTATATTCTTGGTTGCTCTCTTTATATTTTGCACATGCAAAATGTGCCCATCTTTGGCAAGATTCACACTGCACCTGGAAAGGAAAAATAAATAGCTCATATTATGTTTGGTGAATACTATTAGTCAACATTTTAAACATGATTAGCAAGTAATGATACTAAGACTTATGTGTTTCTTTTGTTTTGTTTTGTTTTACCATTTCAATCATGCTGCGGTCAGCGTCATTTTTTTAGAATCATTCATCTTAGCAGTGGGATTTACATGAAAAGAGAAACAAATTAAGTTTGAGTGAAAATGTAAATTTTTTTTGCACTCTCTGGTCAACTGACTCAGTGAATCAAATGACTCAAAACACCCGA